GTTCAGTTTTATAAAAAGAAGTACCGGAGGTCATTTTATTTAGGACTCCGGTGTGCTCTGGCTAAAATTGTAATTTATCTTAAAAGTTGAGTCCGGTGGGCTCCGACGCAATTTAAGCACTGGTTATAAATAACTTAAAATTTAAACAGGTGCTGAAATATGCTATCTTAGTATTTGGTATTCAAGTTTTTTAACATGAAAATAAAGGAATTAAGTGTGCTGAATAATTAAATTTACTTGTTATTTTATGCAATTTAGTGTTAGTTTTTTTTTAATTTTAAAATATTTTTTTCATGCACAATTACTTCTTCCCTCTTTTTTGTAAAAAGTAAAATATTTAATTGGAATATGATACTTTGTATATGTAAGCTATATTACCATCGTTTTGTTTGAATTCTCATATCTAACCTCTGAATTTATAGTTTGGGAGATTCAGATTTTTAAAATGTCTGATATATTTTTTTAATACAGGATAATTTTTCTTCACTTTAATATATGTATTAGAATTTAATGCAAATTTAAAGGGAATAAATAATTTTAACAAAGATACTGCTACTTGTAAGTTTTAGTGATGGTATTTGTTTTAATGAAGTAGCTGTTCAAAGAAATAAATATTTTGGTATTAATTATGCCATTTTTTTTATGTGTTAAGCTTTTCGTAACATGTCTGGTGGAGATGAAGACCGGACCATGTACATAACCCCTACCAGGTACCAGTATACCGTTTTCAAAGATAATTTGCACTTTTATTTCATGGTTGCTGCAATTCCATTAGGCCTTCTTATTCTGTACTGCAATATATTTATTGGACCTGCTACATTAACTGAAATTCCAGAAGGATATGAACCCAAGCATTGGGAATATTACAAGGTAATATTTATCTTTATACATTTAAAATCAGTAATAAGTTTTATTCAGCATGTTTACATACACTGAACAGAGGGGGAGGGGCAGTGTGTGGAGGGGCAGTGAGGATAAGCGGTTACAGATCATGGTTTAACAAATCATAAACAAGACACAATAAATAACCAATCAAAAATAAGATAGAGAATGGGATTTAAGTTTCAGAATAACTCGGACCTGGCTGAAAGCTAATGTATGTATCGGACGTGACAGAAAGCTATACTTCCTTTTAACCAGTAAGAATGCGATTACAAATATCTCAACACTCCCCCTTAATCGCATGTTATACAAAACATAAAAGAATTACACAATTTTTAAACAGCTCAATGATAACAGTTCATAGAATTTTGTTTTGGACAAAGCATTAGTTAACATATCTGCAATTTGTAAACCTGACTGTACATATCCAATTCTAATATTATTTTCCTTAACACTCTTACGAGTGAACTTTAATTTTATATCTATATGTTTCAACCCACCTGAAAAGTTTTCTTTAACAATACTTTTGATACATGACTGGTTATCTTCAAAAATATAAACATTTTTAACACTGGAAATTTCATTTACTACATTTTTTTATCCGTAAAACATCTTGAATACCTTTACATAAAGCAATTATTTCAGCTTCTGTTGATGAAAGTGCAATACACTTTTGCTTGTTACAGCACCACATAATAGGACAGTTTAAAAACATTATAAAGTAACCAGTAATTGATTTCCTATCTTGAGTATCTCCCCCCCCCAATCTGCATCTACATACAAACATAAGTTTGCCCTTTCCAAATCACCCTTTTTGTATATCAATTTTAAATTTAAGGTGTTTTTCAAGTACCTAAGAATTCTCTTTAGAGCACACCAGGCAACATCAGTAGGATGCTCCTGCAGTTGGCTTAAGCAATTTACTGCAAGCAAAACATCTGGCCTTGTGATATATGCTAAGTAAAGTAAAGATCCAATTAATTATTTGTATGGGCCATGAAATGCATTTTCTTTCTGAAAATCAGCTACTGTAGATTTTGGTTCAATGGGAGTTTGGGCTGTTTTTACAATGGCAGTTTGGCGTGTGTTAAATTTATCAAATAATTTTTCAATATATGGTTTCTGATCTAAATATAAACAACCAGACTCAAATTTTAGTCTAAAGCCTAAAAATTCTGAGACACTTTCAGATTTTGACATTTGAAATTCACTAGACAACAATGATTAATAATATTTGTTTCTTTTACATCCGAACCTGCAATTAATAAGTCATCTACATAAAGAGCCATAATTACTTTCTTACAATTTAAATTTCTGATAAAAATACATGGTTCAGAGTCCAATTGCTTAAAATCTAATTTAATAACAAAATTAAGAAATTTCTGATACCATTGTCGAGGAGACCAGGACTAAACATCACTGGAGAAAACGTTTCTGTATAATCTACGCCTTCCTTTTGCATAAAGCCACGAGCAACAGGCCTGGCTTTGTAAGTTCCATCTCGTTTTTTACGTAGATCCCATTTGCAGGAAATGGCTCTTTTATCAGGGGGGAAACTTTGTAGATTCCAGACATCGTTATCTTCCATAGATTTCATTTCCTCGTCCATAGCTCTTTTCCATGGTTCTTGTTCTACTTGTGGTAGATTTACAATATCTTCAAATGTCAGAGTGTCTTGTTGTGCAAACATTACTTGGTAAATCTCAGGATACCTAACTGGCTGTTTCTTTTCTCTTGAAGATTTTCTTTGTTCCTCCTTCTTATTTGCAGCATTTAATTCGCCGTTATCAGTGTCTGAAATTGATTTGTCTTCATTTTTAATGTCATCATTGTCATATTCACTCAAATCAGAACTATCGGGAATATATTTTTGATTTTCTACTTTCTTCTTTTTTTCATTAAATTTAACATTTCTGGAAACAATGATGCATCTTGTTTCTGGAATCATTAAACGATATCCCATTGTGGAATAACCTACAAATATCATTCTGACAGATTTTTCATCTAGTTTCTTTCTTTGCGTTGGTGGCACTAGAGTATAAGCATCACAGCCAAATACATGCATGTTTGCTAAATCAGGATTTTCACCATACTTCAGAAAATAAGGAACACGATTGTCAATCGAACTATTTGGGAGTCGATTATTTATGTAAGCAGCCATAAGTAGTGCTTCACCCCAAAGAAATTTTGGTAATTTTACCTCAAGTATCATTGCTCTAGCTTTTTCCATTACAGTTCTATTTGCTCGTTCAGCAAAACCATTTAGAAAAGGTGTATAGGGAGGTGCAGGATCTATTTTTACACCTGCTCTTTTAACAACTTCATGCAATTCCCCACTGACATATTCTTTGGCATTGTCACAGCGCAGTTTTGTAACAGTTGGATTCAATTTAAAGAATAGCTTGAGTTTATTAGCAATGTCACTTTTTCTTTTGAGCAGTCTGATTTCCTTAAATCGCGAGTAGTCATCAATTATAGTCATGAAATACTTTTCCCCATGGAGTGTTTGAGGTTCTATTGGACCACATATATCAGTGTGTATAGTTATAAGTGGCTTGGACTCTTTTATGTGAGTACCCTTTCCTATAGGCAAAGCACTTTGTTTGGCATGAACACATACTTCACAAAAGGATTCTTTTGCAGGAAGATTCATTAGTTTTAATTTTTGATCACAGCAGTGTCATAATCTTCTGTGCCATAAATCATCATTCTTTACTGCTAAAGCTGTAAATAGATTTGGTGAAAAATCACTAAAATATTGTCCGCATTTGTCCAAATATCCAAATCCAAAATGCTTGTTTTTGTTTTCAATATAAACTATTTCATTTTTAAAAATTACGCTCAAACCTGCTGCTTTCAATATTTTTAACAGGAAATTAATTGTCCGTTTATTGTTAAAATTGTTAATTTTGGAACGTAAAGAACATCTTTTAACATTATTTCAACACCATTCTTAGTTTTACCGCAAATATCACCAATTGCTTCTACTTCTAAAACCGCCAACTTAGGCGCGCACTTAACAGTTCCAGTCTTGGGCTTAATTGAGGTAAACCATTCCTTGTGAGAAGACATATGAGAATTTGCACCAGAATCAATAATAAATTGATCATGCACAAGATTTCCTGCCATAAAAGATATTGCAGGGGATGCATACTTATTACTATTTGAATTTGCCTGCTTTTTAGAATTATCAAAACATTCACTTTTGAAATGACCAGTTTTCCCACAGTTATGACAGACACAGTTCTTTTTCCTACAAAATTTAACAGAATGTCCTTTTCTTTTACAATAAGTACAAAACAATTCTGTACGAGCACTAATAAAAACAGAGTTATCCATATTTGGTTTAGAATACTTATTTTCATTTTTATGATCAAACATAAGAGATTCGCAATCAATAAGTCTACTTGTAACAAAATCCAAACTCAAATTATGACTTGGTTGATTTTCTAGAGATGCCTTAATATTTTCATGTTCCTTTGGCAAAGCCATTAAAATGTAAATCATAATATCAAAGTCGCTTACTTCAGAGCCAGAGACGGATAGACTACTCACCAGGTTCATTATACTATTGATATGCTGTCTCATTGACACATCCTTGGATTTCCTTATGGTAGCTAGACGTTTACGTGTTAAAATTTGACTCACTGCACCTTTAGCACTATACATAGCATGTAGTTTCTTCCATATTTTACATGCCGTGTCTTCACGTTGAAGAGAAGCAATAACATTATCACTTAGAAGCGCAAGTATTAAGGCATAAGCCTTTTTTGATTTTAAAACATCTGCAACTCTGTCCACAATTGCTTCTGTTTCCAAAAACGTATCCAATTCCTTTGCTGTAAATACTGCTTGAACTCTCCGACACCAAACAGTAAAGTTATTAACATTGTCAAATGGCGCTACGCCAAAAGCTTCCCTTTCACTTCCGGAAAAAGCCATGATTCACAAAACACAAAATCAAAATCATGCGAACAATAAATTATTACACTGGAAGGACCAATTAGGGAAAATATCAGCGAATTCTAACTTTTGAAGGAACCACGCTCTGCTGTTAAACATAGAAAATGCTGTGGTTCGCAAAGCAAATATTTGTTATTGAGATATGCAGAGATACACAAGCAACGATAAGTACAAACACAGATAAGTAAGTACAAGCAGAGTAATACAAGCAGAAATAAGTAAGTAAAAGCAAGGATAAGCAGTTACAGAGGTCATATATATAACTTTATAACAGATCATGGTTTAACAAATCATAAACAAGACACAATAAATAACCAATAAAAAATAACATAGAGAATGGGATTTAAGTTTCAGAATAACTGGGATCTGGCTGAAAGCTAATGACAGAAAGCTATACTTCCTTTTAACCAGTAAGACTGCGATTACAAATATCTCAACACTTATTTTTACTTAAATTACTTTGCTTACAATATCTGTTAAGGGGGAAACTGTTATACAATGCAAATTTAGAAAATGTTCAGAATTTTGATTTAAGTTAAATTATTTAAATAGTAATATGAGTGGAAAAATAAATTGTATTTATTTTTAGGTGCCAAGCGAATATAATAAATATGGCTTATTATTATTTATTTTCTCTATTTTGAACTGAAATTTCATCATTAAATCTTGTAATATAATTTAGTTCTGCATATTTTTCCCCCTCTCATTGTAAACTAGTTCTGTAAACTGAACTGTTATTTAAAATTAAAAAAAAAAAAAAAAAAAAAAAAAAAAGAATTTACCGTATTTGACGGCATATAAGACGCACCCTTATTTAGAAGGCCATACACAAAGAAGAAAAGTTTCAATAGTCCGCGCGATAGCGCAGTACCACAATAACTTAAAATTTTTTTCAGTTCTCACGTTTTATAAAAGCCAAATAAACAATTATTGAATGCAATTACCAAACATATTTTTATTAAGGAAAATTAACAAACGGCAAGCTATTTTGAACATAATATGTAAATTTCAGTAATGAATAATGAATAAATGAATGAACGGCAAGCAATCAAACATAATACAAAATAAAGGAAAAACAACAAAAAACACAGATTCATGGAAAACGTTGCCTATCATGAAATTAGACTTTAATCACTTTCACAACCATAAAAATCCTTTTCAGTATCATCATCATCGAAAACGAGAATATCGTCATCACTACTGTTTCTGTTATCGCTAGTATCACCTTCTTCGAAAAATGCGTCGTCTTCTGTTCGTCAAGAGCACTACTAATTCCACACTTCTTAAAGTACTTAACAATTACTTCAGCCTTTACGTCCTCCCAAGATCTTTTTACTCACTCGCACACTTGTGAAATAGAGGCCCGCTTCATTCTACCTGAGGGTGTGAGAGTGTGATGTAGCTCTCCTATCCACTTGTTCCATCGTTCTCGCACTTTTTCCTTAAATAGCTTATTCACCGATACATCTAAAGGCTGCAATTGGCTAGTCAATCCACCAGGAATGACAGCTATCTGGGTTTTTAATTCTCTCTTCTAGCACCAGCCCTCAGACCCTGAAAAGTTCTGATTCCCATGTTTTTCTGCAAATCCTTTGGCCTCATTGATTATCATTTTGGTTGACACACTTATCCCAGATTTCCTCTTATCTATCACCCACATTTTTATGGCATTTTCAAGTTCAGGCCAAGATGGAGCTGGGCATCGAATGTTGTGTTTTTGTTTTTTAGCAGTCTTCAGTTGATCTTCCTGCAGTCGCAAAGTACGTTTTTTCGGTAGGTGGTGGACCGAAATGCCTTGCTGCTGCTCTGTCCACCAGGTCGCCTCGCCCATACGTTCTGTAACCACAGGTTTCATTCCAGCTTCGTCCATCCAGCCTTTCAGGTGAACATGAACAATTACACCTGTTGGAAATTTTTCTTTCGGATGAGTTTTTCTTTTGAATATGAGAAACGGCGGTAGTTTTGTGCCATCAACACAACATGTTAGAACTACCGTATATCGGGTTTTTCATGACCTGTGATTTTTATGGTTATTGATTTAGACCCTTTAATACTCACAGTCTTGTTGGATGGTACATCAAATGTGAATGGAATTTTATTCATATTTCCTATTTGACTGAGCTCAAAAGAAGTTTTCTTGCGTGCATTTATAACAAACCTATGAAATGCTAGTATTTTTTCTTCATAATCTGCTGGCATTTTCTGTGCAATAGTTGTTTTTGTGCGCATTGATAAGCCTTGCCTTTTCATGAACCTGTAGCACCAGCCCTCAGACCCTGAAAAGTTCTGATTCCCATGTTTTTCTGCAAATCCTTTGGCCTCATTGATTATCATTTTGGTTGAAACACTTATCCCAGATTTCCTCTTATCTATCACCCACATTTTTATGGCATTTTCAAGTTCAGGCCAAGATGGAGCTGGGCATCGAATGTTGTGTTTTTGTTTTTTAGCAGTCTTCAGTTGATCTTCCTGCAGTCCAAAGTACGTTTTTTCGGTAGGTGGTGGATCGAAATGCCTTGCTGCTGCTCTGTTTCCATGCACTTTGGTGTAGTTTAACACTCCTAGTTTATATTGAATTGTATAGCTTAATCTCTTGTTTCCTGTAGTCATATTTTCCAGGATATTTTTTTTAAACAAATAATTTTAAGCACCGATACCGACACGTGTGTCGGCTGAGTCAAAGAAAGTCTATGTAAAGAAGGAAAGGCTCCATAGACATAATGTGAGCGTCGAACCTGTTCGAACTTCAACATCAGCTTCGAGCTTTGGCGCTTTTTGGCGACAGATATTTCACGCATGTGCAAAATAATTATGGCAGATGTAGAAAACGTTATGTGTGTCTAGACCTTTAGACCTTTATCCGGGCTAAAAATAGCATTCAGTATTGAAAGTTATCCTGTGTCCTTCACGTATGAGACACAGGTAACTTTTTTGAGACCAAATTTAGGAAAAAAAGTGCGTCTTATATGCCGTCAAATATGGCGATTGTTTTCCATGGTTGAGTAATGCTCATTCTCTCTTAATAAATACTGAATTTCTCATATTTTGAGTTACAAGTCTTAATTTTTAAGGTTATGCAGTTGCGTATAATGTAATTAGGTAGGTTTCTTTTTTTCTTCTTAAAATGTGCTTGAAAAGTGCTTATTTTTTTTAACTAAAATGTGGCTATGAACCCTGCTTGATTTTCTGTTCCCAAGTATTTTATCAAAAATTGCTTTTATCAAGTGTGCTAGAATCTTATGCAAGTTTAAGTTTTAATTAAAAAAGTTAAGTTACAAATTTTATTGACAGTTTAAGAATAAATATAATTATTAACCTACAGTTCATGATAAAAAGTCCTGTAAATTGTCCTTGTTGGTTTTATCAGCAAGGGGTTATTAGTCGCCAAGTTTGGTTTTGTTTATTAGAAGGTACAGCAAACCCAAAAGCAAGTAATAAGAATTGTGAAATTGTTTTCCTTTTCTTTTTTGTTTATATGTGGCGGTTTGATATTGTAGTCGCTGCTGTTGCCTATTTGTGGGCACATAAAAAATAAATAGCAGCCCCTTTTTTTTAAAGTAGAAATATGTATTTAAAACTTTTATTAAAATTCCATCATTTAAAAGTGCCGCCCTTTTTTTACAGCAGAAATTAAACCAGGCAATATTTTTTCCTTGGTGCTTTGGTCACTGGTGAAACTAGCAAGTACCTTGAAAATTGTATTATAAAAAGATGAAAATGTTTTAAATATGATTACTGCTTTATTTAGAAATCTTTTGACAGGTTTTTTTTTTTTTTTTTTTTTTTTTTTTTGTGTGTGTGTTTTTTGTTTTTGTTAATGATGAAATACATTTTTTTTTAGCACCCAATATCACGGTTTATAGCAAAATACTTTTTTGATGACCCTCAAATAACTTATGAGCAAACTCTGCATTATCTGAATGACTGTCTAGAGAAATTTGAGTGGAGGTAATTTTATTATATTTTTATCATTAAATACTAGATTGTGTGTCCAAAAAAATTATTTTAAAATACATTAAACTTAATTTTGTGTGTATGAGAAGTTACATGTTAATTTTCAAATTTTCTGGTAAATTATTAAATAAAAATGCAATATCTGTGACACACAGACACACACATATATATTTTAATTTTTAGTCAGAACGTTTTTTATTGCACAGATATCCAAATTGAATGTTATTTAAAAAAAATTAACTGTCATTTTTTAGACAATGAATTTTTGGTACTGTTCTGTTTTGAGGACCATAAAAAATCACCAAACTATTGTTGATGCCAGTGCTGCCAAAAATAATTGCGGCAACCCTAACGCAAGAAAGGAAGTATAATAGTAAATAACTATCTAAAGATTGTTGTTTTAATTTATATGAAATGTTAATTTCATATAGTACTTTTTTATTATTATAATTTATATAAAAAAGGCTAAACATAACTGAATGGAAGCATAAGAGTAAATAACTATTTCAGATCATTATTATAATTTATATAAAAAAGGCTAAACATAACTGAATGGATTCCTGCATCTCTATTTTGCTACCGAGTTATCGCTAAAGATAATTTCATCTCGTTGGTTGTTCAAACATAATTTTCTATAATGAATGATGCATTTTCTTTGAAAAAATTCTATTGCAGACTTTTTGTCATGGGCAATTCCCAAATTGTTAAATCCATAGGATATCAAAAAAGGATTTTAAATTAAAAAAGGATTTAAAAATAAAACTAGTATTTAAAAATTAAACTAGTATTTCAGTGGGGTCTTAAGAAATATAGAACTATCTAAATTTACGCAATCTGAAATCGGCGCGTAAGCTAGATTTGACGCGCTGTTAAATGGGCATGTTTGCTAGATTTGGCGCTTTTGCGCATACATTTTCGCTGCAATTTTTTACAGTTTTCAGAACGGAATAGTACCGAATTTTTTTATTTAGAATTATTCAGTGAAGAGCGGTAAGTTTGCATATTTCTCAACAGTATTAACTGTTGTTAAGCAAAAAATGGAATAAGATTAAAAATTGACCAAATGAAGTGCATGGAAAAACACAAATATTGAAAAGTATTTATTTATAGATATAAGAAATAAAAAGACCAGAAGGCAATGTAAGCACTAACAACATTCTTTTGGTCTATATTACTTGACATGACTTTGTTACACAAGAAAGAGTGTTTTTGTTTTTCAAAATGCTTGGTAAAGTTCATTTTTTTAAACAAAGAAGAGAAGGTAAAGGAGATGCACTCTCTCACTTACGTTTCGATGAACAAATTCGGTCTATGACTTGATTAACTTTGCCTTTCTGAACAAGTCCAGTTCTTTTCAATAAAAATTCCAGTTGTGGTCTAGACCAGTGGTGCGCAAACGTTTTTCAACTGCGACCTTTTTTGTAGAGAGAAAATTTTTGGCAACCCCTAGAGATAAATGTTCACAAATATGATGTATATTTCGCACATTTCTTTCGTTTCATCGAATAAAAACATCATCATATCTGACTCATATTAATTTTATTTATAATTTTAAGAAAATACTTTTTGTATAACACAAAAATCAGTAAATTGCCCTTTAATGAGATGTATGTGGCTGCAAGTTTCTAGTTATCTCATCGATGTTTGGATGTATGTTGCTAATTGCAATTCGCATATCATCTTCAGTGTTTAAACGCGAGCGGTATTTAGTTTTTATTGAGACTAGTTAGCTAAATCCAGTTTCACATAAATACGTTGATGCAAATTGTATTAACACTCTGATGGCATTCTTGCATAAAACGGGATATTGTTTTTCCACAGATAGCCAAAATTTTTGGCAAGGCTGAGTCTTAATTGATTTTGAAGAGTATAATCACTAATTAGATCTATCAATTTCTCTTTCTCACTAATTTAAAGAGTTGAACTGCATATGTCAAAGGAAAATGGATCACGAATCCAACCAAGATCGTTTTCAGAAAAATCCTCGAATCTTCTCAAAAAAGTTTCCTTTAACTTTTCAATGTGATTGGAAATGATGTTTTTAAACGTAAATATATCTATTGATGTTTTTAAACGTAAATATATCTATTGATGTTTTTAAACGTAAATATATCTATATTGTTTTCCTTGATAAAATTGTTAAAGCAAGATAACATGTCGGTGTTGTTTTTATTCAGTTCAGTTTGCCAGAGACTAAGCTTATTCTTAAAAGCTTGAATTTTACTGGCTGAAGTTATGATAGTTGAATTCTCACCCTCAAATTTAAGTCGTTAAGTTTTTCGAAAATATCAACTAAATAGCTCAGCTTCCCTAGCCAAACTTCATTGATATAATAACTTGCCAATCTATGTTTCTTTTCAATTAAAAACATGTACACTTCATTTCTCAAATCAAATATCCGTCGTAGTATTTCCCACGTGAAAGCCGTCTGACTTCGGTGCGTAACAGTAATCTCTCATATGTTGAGCCCATCTCATTGCAAAGTATTGAAAAGAGACGGCTGTTGTGGCTGTTCCATTTAATGTAGTTAATTGAACTAACAGCATCTTGTAATATGTTGTACAACTCTTTATCCATATCTTTTGCAACAAGAGTTTGCCGATGAATCATACAATGATTAAATACCATATGAAGCGCTTCTGAATTAAGCCTCTGAGCCCTTTATTCGAACCTGTTAATGCTGCAGCACCATCAGTACAAACCTCAACACAGTTTGCCCAGGTAAGGGACTTTGTTTCAAAATGTTCATTTATTACTTCGAATATTTTTTCTCCGGTTGTTTTTCCTTCCAAACTTTTGCCACATAAAAACATTTCTGTTATATCTTCATTAAAAATAAACCTAACGTAAATAATTAGTTGTGACATTTTAATAATATCGGTAGTCTCGTCCAGTTGTAAAGCAAATACAGAGGAATTTTGTATGCGTTTTATGACTTCTGACTCAATATTTCGTGACATTTCGGAAATCCACCGAGACACGGTATCCCTTGATAATGGTATTGTTTTTAGTTCATTTCCGTATTTATCGCCATGCATAATTGATGTCGTCTTAGTTGCTGCAGGAATAAGGGATTCTCCAATTGTATGGGGTTTCATTGTTTTTCTTATTAGATAAGAAACTTCTAAAGAAGCTCGTAATGCTTTCTGAGGTATTGTTGTAAATTTCTTTAAATGTGCACTTTGAATTTTCAGATTTTCAGCTCGTCTTTGAAAAAAATCGGCATGTTTATTTTGAAGTTCTTTATGTTTAGTTTCCAGATGCTTTTTTAATTTAGCTGGTTTCATGCTCTCATTTGCTAATTTTTCGTTGCAAATGACACATATCGGGCTTTCTTCATCATCAACAACACAAAATGTAAAACCATTTTTAATAAAATTCTCATTGTATTTTCTTATTTTTTTAGATCGGGCATTTAGTTCAGTATTTTGCGACTTCTCATCAGTATTTGTTCGTTTGTTAGCTGAAGATTTACCTGGTGTATGCATTACTCATTTATCCATTATGAAGATAGGGGTTAAATTATTTAAACTAAAACAAATAATATATAAAATTTTACCATTTTTTTCCGAGAAATTCAATAAAATTAACAGAGATCTTTCTCTAATGATAGTACATACCTGATAACAAAGAGTAGCAAAGCCCGATAAAAATATAAAAAATCATAATTACACAACGTCGCATGATAAAACCCGAGGATAAACTAAAACAATTGCAGGCCAACTGCTACATGCTACAACTTGATGCGAACACTTCAAGTCTTCACTCTGACTATCAGATACACCGTATACCTCGCCATCTGATTGGCTGATCACGGAAGCGAATTTTCTCCCTTTCCCTGCGGTTAATGTCTAGTCAAAATAGGTGCTTTTCAGTAAAACTGGCGAATTACCACGAAGAGGGTGCTATCTACCGGAGTGAAAAACTTGCGTCTTCACACTTTACATACATTACACATTACGGTCAAAGAATGAGCGGACAGCATGAAATTGAAATTAAACAGTGAGTGACGGCGCTTCACTCTTTATATATGAGTATGGTACGCAGCATGCAGGCATAATGCATTTCATAAAAATTTGGCGACCCCCAAAAAACTTCTGGCGACCCCTAGTTTGCGCACCACTGGTCTAGATAAAGTTTCTGTAAATATGTTTGCACACATCACTTTGGAGTGTTGTACTTAAATGATTCATTGGTTTTGTAAATCATGCATATTGTGGTATTTTACATTCATGTGTTTAGTCTAATTGTTCCTTTCTTTCCTTTCTGTAAAGATTTATACAGAAGTTGTTCTTGGATATAATGTTAGCTTCCTATTGAATGAAACCTAAATCTTCCATTAATTGTCAAATTTAAGGCTAGAGCTTTGCTGTTTCACATACACAAAAAACAGGGATACTTAGTGTATCCGTGTTGATGGCGAAGGAGGAAGCCCACTATGACACTGATGATCCATTGGGCATGTGATATTGCAACAAATCAGTGAGTCTCTTTATGTCTTTGTATTTTTCACACGAACAGACTGGATGGCATTTAGTTAATCTATATGCAATAACTGTAGAATTATCAAAAATTAAAAAGTCTTAAGTTGTGCTATGCCTAATGAGGCTGTAGAACAGTGCATTAAGTCGGTACACAAACTTAAGTGTCTTTTTGCCTAGCATGACCAAAAGTTAACTTTCAGTTTTTTTCAATTTTGTTCAACTTTTTGCCCGCTGGCTGAATTTCTTGTCTTGCGTAGAAACTGAAATTTTTTTTTTTGGGGGGGGAGGAGGATTAACTGTTTTTTAACTGTATTTGGAATTTTAAGTTTTTCTGTATTTTATAGTTTTTAATGAAGATTGAGTTTTATGTAATTTTGCCTTGCCAAAAAATGAGAACTGAATTGGTTGAATTAAAAATAAATGTCTAATGAAATTCAAGAAAGTAAGTTTAAAGGAAGTGCAGAAAAAAATGTGTATAATTTTATAGGCCATACAAGGAAGTCATGTGGT